TTTCTTTTTTCCCTTTCTTTCTTTCTTTCCTTCCTTTCTTCCCCTCCTCTTTCTTTCTTTCTTTCTTTCTTTTTCTTTCTCTTCCTCCCTTCCTCCCCTTCTTTCTCTTTTCCCTTTCTTTCTTTCCTTTTCCCTCCTCTTTCTTTCTTTCTCTCTTTCTTCCTTCCTCCCTTCTTCCCCTTCTTTCTTTTTTCCCTTTCTTTCTTTCTTTCCTTCCTTTCTTCCCCTCCTCTTTCTTTCTTTCTTTCTTTCTTTTTCTTTCTCTTCCTCCCTTCCTCCCCTTCTTTCTCTTTTCCCTTTCTTTCTTTCCATCCTTCCTTCCCCTCCTCTTTCCTTCCTTCTTTCTTTCTTTCTTTCTTTCTTTCTTTTTCTTTCTCTTCCTCCCTTCTTCCCCTTCTTTCTCTTTTCCCTTTCTTTCTTTCCATCCTTCCTTCCCCTCCTCTTTCCTTCCTTCTTTCTTTCTTTCTTTCTTTCTTTCTTTTTCTTTCTCTTCCTCCCTTCTTCCCCTTCTTTCTCTTTTCCCTTTCTTTCTTTCCATCCTTCCTTCCCCTCTGCTTTCTTTCTTTTTCTTTCTCTTTCTTCCTTCCTCCCTTCCTCCCTTCTTCCCCTTCTTTCTTTTTTCCCTTTCTTTCCTTCCTTCCTTCCTTTTTTCCCTCCTTCTTTCCTTCCTCCCCTTCTCAGCCCCTTCCCCCATAAAATGCTATCAGACTTTTTATTTATTTATTTTTGGAGAGAGGGACTGCAAAATCGAAGCAGAAAGGTTTCAAACTGAGGGTACAAAGTATCTTTTGTATCCGTTCCAGAATTCAATATTACCAGTACTTTAGTGCAACCAATGATCCAGGTGTCATAATTTCTTTTTTCATAAGACCGCACAAAACGGGGGCTTCTTTGCCTTTCAAAGTTCCGCTTTGTAAAAGGGCAGGAGAAACAAATACTTTTTTTTTGGGGGGGGGGGACTTGGACTACGGAAGGAATACTGATTAGCCTTAATGGGGCAACTCTCCTTCTTGAAAGTGACTGGGAAGCAATGCCGCCATTTTTCAGCGGCTACAGCCAGCGGTGGTTCTAAGAGTTGCAAGGAACCTTTTGGCAGGTTCTTACAGTCCTTTGTCCTCTACCCTTGGTCTGTGCTCCGTTCGCTTGGCTAGAGGCAGGTATTCATGTCTGCATCTGAACGACGTGCTGAAAGTTCGGTGCCCGTTAGTTTTATCTCTTCATTCAGAAGGGCCTCTTCTTTGCATTCGTTTTCAGCCTCCTTGGCCTCTTGCTCTCTAAGGCTTTTCTTCGTAAGCAGGTAGAAGAGGAAACCCAGCAGATAAGACGGCACTCTCAAGGCAGCTATTAGACCGTAGAAGGAATACCTGTGCAAGGAGGGGGAAAAAATGTGCTGGTGAGCCAATTGTGAATCTTGGTGGCTACCTGGAACACCGCCCATTTGGATGATCCGTGAGAGTTTTGCATCGATATTAATTGCCACGGAATTATCGCTTGGGAAAAGTCTATTGTCTGGCTGGAACTCCTGTCATCTAAGTGTGGCCACTGCATTAACTTACCGTATTTTTCAGATTATAAGATGCTCCGAAGTATAAGACGCACCTTGCTTTTGGGAAGGAAAACACGAAAAAAAAAATCTGCCTTGCAGCAAACAGCCCATTTCAATTTCAGCACAGCCTGATTAGCACAAACAGCTGATTTTTGGATGGATCAGACTCCTGATGATCAACTGTTTCAAGCTGCAGAAATTGCCATAGTCTATTGCCGTCTCTGCTCACACCGTTTTCAGCCTCTGCATCCTGTTTTCAGCCTCACCATGCCCCGTTTTCGGCCTCCGTTTACTCCATTTTCTGGGTGGCGGGGATGGGAATGGGCAGAAAATGGGGTGTGTGGAGGCCAAAAATGGGACACACATAGGCCTAAAATGGGGGGCGTGGGGAGGGGCAATAGTCAATGGCAATCCCTGCTGCCTGAAACAGCTGATGGTCAGGAGGCTGATCCAACCGATAATCAGCTGCTTGTGCTAATCAGGCTGTGCTGAA